GCATTAACTACTTTCTATGTACCCTCTGTGCTTGGCACTGGGAAATCTATAATAATAAAAGGGTAATATGCCAATTAGACCGGATGTCAATCCATACGTCCTTCAGGACAAAGCCGGGGCTGGAGGGAAGCCAGGGCCGGCAGCCGGGGGAAGGAAGGCCTATTCTTGCACGAATTTTTGTGCATTGGGCCTCTAGTCAAAGATAAATGATAGGTCCTCTTTTCCCAAGGACTTCATGTTTATAAAGAATTGTTACTCAGAATGACAGGTACTATAATAATGACGTATATGATAGACAAGTAGCATGGGGAAAAGGGAGGGGTGAATCAGGCCTTATCAGCCCCCTGCTTATAAGCCCCATGCAGCATGCCACTGCGCCTGAAATAAAATCCAAATTCTCTACCCTGATGTACCAGGCTCTGTCCCACCCAGCCCCTTCCCCGCTCTGTCCTCATCACCCACCACACCACCCCTTGCTCACTCCCCAAACATTATTTCTGTCCTTGGACAGACCAAGTCCTTTCTCTCCTCAAGGCTTGCCCTCAGATCTTTCTGCTTGGTTGCCTCTTTCTTTAGCATTCAGGCCTCTGCTCCATTATCACTTCCTTTGGCCACAGTCTACATAACCTCCTCCACTACCCTGTTATAGTTTCTTCCCAAACCTTTTCACTGAAGTTATCTCGTTCATTTAGTAACATAATAGTTGTCTATTTTCCTCTCCTTTCCGTTCACCATCCCTGCCCCATGCACTACGATGGTGGGTTCCTGAGAGCAGAGAGGCCTGTCTGGCTGGGTCCCTTCTCTGCCCCAGCGCCTGGAACATTGCCTGGAGGCCAGCACATAATAGAAACGCATCAAGTATGAATTTGCTCTGGGAAAGAGAAGAAAGATTCACCAAAGAAAAGTTGTAGGTAAAAAACAGCTGAGGATAGGAAAGGTGTGAGGGCCAGTGTCAGGACTCTGGGAATGAGCATACAGGTTGCAAGTGAAATGTGCAGGTGAGGCCTGAGGAGCAACATGGCCTGAAGGCTTTGTTTGCCAGGACCCTAGATCTAGAGAGTGGGTCAGACGGAAAATTCACCAGTTCTATCCCTTCCCAGGTGTGTGATCCAGGCAATCACCTAACCCTGCAGTGCCCCCATATCCTCATTTTTAAATGAGCTGATAATACTTTCTATAAGGAGAATATAAGAGTACTCTCTCTGTAGGCTTGTGTGAAGATTCGATGACTCAGTATGTAGAAAATGCCTAGTAGTGCCTGGTAGATAGTTGGCTAAGCATTTGCACTAGAGTGGAGTCGCTGAAGCGTTTGAGAAATAGGTTTATAGGAGTGAGGTTTGTATTTTAGAAAGATCAGCAGGCTGGCAGTGGGGAGCGTGGACTGCAGGGGGCTGAGAAATTAGTCAAGGAAACAATTGTGTGGGCAAGACAGACCAAGACTGGGCAACAGTGAGGATGGTACAAGAGTTATTAAGACAATGGACTCAGTCATCAGTTTGGGGAAGGAGATGAGGCAAAGAGACAAGTAGTTAATGATTCCTGGACATGGGGCTTGGGGAATTGTGTGGCTGGGAGTGCCATCCACCCACACAGGAAATACAGGATGTGGGCCAGGCAATCACCTAACCCCAGGTTTGGGAGCCTGCGGCAGGTTGATTTTGAGTGCTGCGGGAACTCAGGGGAAGGGGGAGATGCTACTCAGCAAGAAAACTCACCTCTCCCTACATGGCAATATAATATTCACAAGCAAGCCCTGTACTTATTGGTACTTAATCAATGTTAGCGCTTAATATTTCGTGTTTATAATTTTTGCCTTTAAAGCAAATACTGTGAGAAATTTCTTTGTCCACATCTGAGGGTTGGACAAGATTCTGAGATTTCTATAAGTAGAATTAGTGGAGCAAAGATATGGAGATTTTAACTCATCTTGCCAAATTCCTTTTCAAAAAGGTTATATATATATATTCTCCAGATATTTTGGGATTCTTTAAAATCAGCTTTAATATTCTTTTATAAATACCATCCCAAAAATTGCTAGGATATGGGGAACAGTTCTCTCGTGTGCTTCCTATGGTCGTGATCATCAATGTCAGCTCCGTCTTTAAGCGTTGCTAGTTGCGTTTGTCCTAGAGAAGTTCCTCAAGTAAATACCTGTTATTAATTAACATGTTGGCAATACCACAGTCCAAACTTTATTCTTGAAACCATGGCAATAAGTGAAATATAAGCACTCCATGCATAAATACTCCCCTGAGGCTTGGGAGGGGATATAAGGAAAATGTACTCAGTGAATATAAAGCTCCACATTATCAGACTGCATTGTTATAACAGTAGTTTCCCCCAAAGGACGGGTTTCTTGCAACTTTCTGTTCTATGATGTAGTGTACGCACTTGCGTAGAAATTTCGTTTCATGTGAATTAATACACGTGCTCTGACAGGGCACCATTCATTGGTCGAATAAAATTATAATGTAGACTAAATTAAAATTTCTTTCTCATGCATGTAAAATAGAAAAATCTATTTTCATTGAAGACAGTGACTTGGTCAGTTCTACAAGTGATTATCATGAACTGTTGGCCATCCGGGTGCTTCGGATGGTTGTTACTGTATTTCTAACTCTGACCACACAGAGCTGACACACCACAGGGGAATAGTACCCAGGAGGAGTGTTTGGATGCTTAGTATCCCTCTGTGGACCCTTGTTTTGTGTCTATCAGACTTAGTTTGTACATAATAGAGTTTTTAATTGGTTGTCTTTTTCAGAGAGTCCTTATAAAGGAAGCATGGCTAGAGTGTTCTTGCCCATGTGTTGTACTGAATATTTGTTTTGTATTTCCCATGACCCACTCCCTGGAGGCCACTTAACCAGGGGGGCCCCCAGCACTAATACTTGCCTCTTCTGTTCAGAGCATTAGCCATCCATCGAAGTGTGAATGGAGACTCAGACTTGCTTTCGGAACACGCTCTTATACCTAGTCCCTGTCCCTGTTCTCTGGTGGAAATGGGTAAAGAGGTTGGCCTTGTTATCCAGTTCTGGCTATAATAGTAATTCATGGAATTTTAGATCCAGTGTATGGGGGAAGTGAGCTAGTCAGTCTCTTTAAGTGTATTTGTCAGAACTCTGGCCTCTAGGGGAGATGAGTGCGGTATGGCCTTGTCATTGGGAAGTGACCAGGAGATAGATGGTCTGTGGGAATGCTAATCATGTGTCCACCTCTAGAAAATGTTTCCTAGTCGAGTAAGTTTGGGAAATGCTGAATCCTATGTCTCCATCCCCATGAATATTCACAACGAAACGGCAACTCTAAGTCAGCATTTCCCAAACTTATTTGACCAGGGAGCCTCTTTTCCCTGCATAATAGCCGTTAACATCCTGCTGTAGGAAATGAGTCCAGTCTTCTAGTGGATGGAGGACCAGAAAATGAAGCCACTGGTGGGAGTAACCGCAGGGAATAGCAGGAGAACCCACTGGTGGTGGACGCCTCCCTCAGAATGGGCTGCCTATTTGCGCTGATAGCAATGGCTTCAAAACATGTTGAGATTTTGTTTTCCTTTGAAATTTATTTAAAGAATCGTTTCTAAGGTTATTTAGGATCCTAGTTTATAGAGAATTATCCCCTAGCACAGTGGTTCTCAACCTTAGCTGCACATTAGAATCACCTGGGAATTTTTTTAAAATCCTGATTTCTGGGCCGGAAATTCTGTTTCTTTGTTACTAATGTTGTGCCCCCCCCAACAAAGAAACAGAATTTCCTGAGGATGAGGCCCAGAAATCAGGATTTTAAAAAAAGATTCCCAGGTGATTCTAATGTGCAGCCAAGGCTGAGAACCACTGACCTAGCTGAGAGAAAATGTGTCAATCAGCCCATTCCATTTGGTAGCACTCCTTATTCACCTGCATCAGAAATGGAACCTGAATAGTAAACACCTTGGAGAACAAAGGCGCAGGAGGCCCTCCCGTCGCAGGGGTGGGGGAGGGAGAAAGCCAGTAAGCAATTAAACAAGTACATGTGTAATTAGAAATTACGGGAAACCAAGAAAATGAACTAGGTGCTGTCAGACTGAGCTTACATTTGCAATCATTTTTTAAATTGGCCCAGATTCAGAAGGGATCGATAGCAGCTGCTTTTCTGGCCATCTTGGTGGTGCGCTCAGGACCACGGCCTGAACCACTTAACGCCCCCTCCTCTCCCTCTTGTCTCTCCAGGCGGGCGAAGCAAAATGAGCGCGCAGTGAGCCGGCCCAGCCCCTCTCGCAGCCGTCCCCGACGCCCACCATGAACCCCTTGGAGGGGGCCGCGGAGGTGGAGGTGACCGACGAGGCGGCAGGCGGGGAGGTGAACGAGTCGGTGGAGGCCGACCTGGAGCGCCCCGAGGTGGAGGAGGAGCAG